AAATTTTTTTGCCCTTAGAAGAAAAAGAAGAAAAAAAATCCAAAACCTAAAATTAAAAACCCGTGGGGGTTTAAGAATTTGGTCTTTTAATGTTCATCGTAATAAAATCCTTTGCTCTCACGTCCAAGACCCTAAAATTCCCAATCTATTTCAATCCTCAACTCCTTCCGAAATTTGAATCTCTGAATCCCAGATTCGGTAGAGAAGATGAGTTTCGCGGCCTTCAAGATGATGCATTGGGCGACCGGCGTCGAGAACTGTGCCTCCGGCTATATCACTCACTGCCTCTCCGATACAGCGATGCAGATTCCGATGGTTTCCGGCGATGACCTTGAGGCCGAGTGGCCTGCTCCCAAGCGCGGCATTGGTGCAGTGCCCGACGTCATTATAACCGCCGGAAACATCCTTGAGGTGTACGTGGTTAGGGTTCAAGAGGAAGAAATTAGTAGTCAGGAGCTGCGGAACCCGAAACTTGCTAAGCGCGTTGGAGTCATGGATGGAGTCTCCGGTGTTTCTCTCGAGCTCGTGTGCCATTACAGGTAAACATCATCAAACTCCAATCTGGACTTTTTTTTTGTTTTTGATTTGAAATTGATGTTGTGATGGATTTGCAGGTTGCACGGTAACGTTGAGTCGATTGCGGTGCTACCTATGGGAGGCGGAAATTCTTCTAAGGGAAGAGATTCCATCGTACTGACATTCCGCGACGCTAAAATTTCTGTTCTTGAGTTTGATGATTCGATTCATGGCCTTCGAATGAAGTAAGTAAAAGTGTAATGATTTTGTGGGTTTAATCTTACAAGTAAACTATTTCAGTGTTAATTTCAGCTGTATATGTTCGGAATTGCATTGGCTTGCTTGATTGCATCAGTATTGAATAATTTTTACGAGATGTTGAATGTCCAACTGTTCTTATTGTCTCTTTGTTTCTTCTAGCAATGCAAACTAATGGATATGTGGTTCCTTTTCAGCTCAATGCACTGTTTTGAGGGTTCAGATTGGCTTCATCTGAAAAGAGGAAGAGAGTCCTTTCCAAGAGGCCCCTTGGTAAAAGTGGATCCTCAAGGCAGGTGTGGTGGCGTTCTTGTTTACGGTCTGCAGATGATCATACTCAAGGCCTCCCAGGTTTTTTTTTCTTTTTGCATCCTTGATCAACTTCATTTTAACTCTTACTTCATCTGCTAGAAGTTTCCAACCTTCATTATTTTCTGTTAATGGCTTTATGCTTTGGTGGTTTCAGGTTGGTTCTGGACTAGTTGGAGATGATGATGCGTTCAGTGCTGGGGGGACAGTTTCTGCCCGAGTTGAATCATCTTACATAATCAACTTGCGTGATCTGGAAATGAAACATGTCAAAGATTTTGTTTTTCTTCATGGTAGGTTTAGGTTTCTCCATGGGGAGATCCAGCTCCTTGTTGTTTTTGTTTTTAGCTCTCGTTATATCTCTGAATCAGTAGTTAATCATAACATATTTATGATAGTTGTTTCTCAGCTGTTCAACTTTCATTTAAACTGCATCGAATCTTGTTTCCTTGATAGGATCTAGTTTACTAACTTGTTAGTTGTAGATGCAATACAATAGCAAACAACTTGTGTATTTCCTCGTTTTTATCCAGATGATGGATGCTTACAGTTTTTTTAAAGAAGAGAAAATGTATTGTTGATTTGATTTTTCAATAGCTAGCTTTCTGACATTTTAGATATTGTGGTTTTCCAAATAGGCATAATATGAATAAACTGTGCTTCTTGTTTTGATTATGTTTGTTTACATCTTGTGTCTGATTCAGGTTATATTGAGCCTGTAATTGTCATCCTTCAGGAAGAAGAGCATACTTGGGCTGGGCGAGTTTCATGGAAGCACCATACTTGCATGCTATCTGCTCTTAGTATCAATACAACATTAAAACAACACCCAGTCATCTGGTCTGCTATTGTATGTTCGTAATTTTTCTCTTTTATCTTAAAAGGAAATTGCTTCCCAAGGATTGAAATATTTGAGTTGCTTTAGTAATCTATATTGTACGCTGAGAGCAGAAATTGAAGTAAAATCAAAAGGTTTATTGTAGATTCAGTATTGTTACATGACTAGGCTCTTCAGTCAGCTATTAAGAAATCAGAAACATGCATGGTGACTTTTTCTTCTTCATTGTTTAGAATGGTCGAAGGATTATCCTTCTTTAGGAAGAAAAAAAAGTTCCTAGAATAACATATTTTATGCATGCTGGAAGGATTGAACCTACTGAAAAATTCCTTCTACAAACTTTAGTCCCTGATCTTACTTATTCCCATTCTTTTGATTTTTTTCCCAGAATCTCCCCCATGATGCCTACAAACTACTTGCAGTACCATCTCCGATCGGAGGTGTTCTTGTCTTGTGTGCAAATACAATCCATTATCATAGTCAGGTAGGTTTATTTCACTTAGCATCTTGTACTTTTGGTTGTTTATTGTTTGAAATTCAACTCTTTCCAGCCACTCCACCCTGTTTAATCTGTATTTTTACAATTACTTACACATCTGATATACCATATTCTTTGTAGTCAGCCTCCTGTGCTCTGGCACTGAACAATTTTGCCTCCTCAGCTGATAGCAGGTTCAGTTTTCTCGCACACTCTCCACTATTCAAAATTTGCTTTCTGCTTTTGGATATAATCTTGTTGCCTCAATCTTGGTTTAGAATCCTACAGCTTAAAATCAACTGTCAGAAATTGTAAGACTCTATTTATACTGTTAACCACATTTCTTTTTCTTTGTATGTCTGATTTCTTTCAGTCAAGAGCTACCTGCATCAAATTTCAATGTGGAACTAGATGCTGCCCATGGAACCTGGATATCGAACGATGTTGCCTTATTGTCAACAAAATCTGGGGAATTGTTGCTGTTGACTCTTATATATGATGGGCGGTAATATATTGATCTTCGTTTTAAGTTTGGAGAAATTTAAAAAAGTTATGAGCATAGTGCTACTGCTGGCGCTTGCAAATCTGGCTACAACTTATTTTGTTTATAATATGTGAAACTGACTGCAACTTTCTTCCTTGAAGTGCTGTACAGAGACTTGATCTTTCCAAATCAAAAGCCTCTGTGCTTGCTTCGGTTAGTCAATATGTTTTTTCAGCATATTTGTGCTTCAATTTTGGATCCAGTTCGACTAGAGAATCCCTAAGATGATATACAAAATTTCTTGCAGGACATTACTAGTGTTGGAAATTCCCTTTTCTTTTTAGGTAGCCGGTTGGGAGACAGTTTACTGGTGCAATTTTCCTGTAGCTCTGGGCCTGCAGCATCATTACCCGAGTTGAGAGATGAGGTGATGGTTAATCTTTCTTAGGCTGGCCAGAGTAACTTCTTTTTCATATGTTTATCCAGAACTTGAAAATTTTCTTGCCTATTTTATGCAGGATGAAGACATTGAAGGTGAGGATCATCAAGCAAAACGTTTGCGGTTATCTTCTGATGCTATTCAAGATACATATGGAAATGAAGAGCTTTCGATGTTTGGTTCAACACCAAATAACTCCAATTCAGCACAGGTAGGAAGTTCTGCCTTGGTTAGAGTTTTGTAGAATATTCAGTTGAGGTTGGGTCATCTTCTTAGAAAAAGCTCAATGAAACCACTTCTTCTCTATCACTAGATGGCCTTACTATATGAAACGGGGTTCCTGTACAGAACATTCTCCATTTTGCTATCTGTATTTGCTTTCAGTAGCAAACAATTCAATTTAAAAAATTTCATGTTGAACAAGAAAATGACTTTAGTAGTTTAATTAATGAAGAAAGAGTTAGCCTTTGCAAAAACTGCAGTATGTATGACGTCAATAAGAGTTACATAGCCCATGTTCTCCTTTCCATGAAGTTTCTCATGTTTTCTTTTCCAATAAATGCAGAAATCGTTTTCATTTGCAGTGAGAGATTCACTAGTTAATGTTGGTCCAGTGAAAGATTTTGCGTATGGCTTAAGGATTAATGCTGATGCAAGCGCCACTGGGATTTCCAAACAGAGCAACTATGAATTGGTGAGCCGTTTGTTTAAAAGTTCTTATACAATCCTAGCTGGAGAAATGTTCGATACAAAATAAAACATGCATAGGGTTGTTATTCAGAGACACCTATATTTGAAGTATTCTTTTGCTTAACAATAAAATATTTTGTTCCACAACTTTTAGTGTTGACATGCTCTCGTATTTTTCTAAAACCTGGAAACGCCAAACTAAA